TAGAATACGACCACATTGACTTGTCCCCACACAAATGTTTCTTCAACACCATAACTGTTTCTTATGTTTAGTCTTCGTAAGAAGGCAACACAAATTCCACTCCTGCTTAGCAGAGGAGTAATAGCACGCACAAACCTGTCCCCATTGTCATTGACTGGAGCAAAGAGACCAATCCACGTCCATCCAAAAGAGAGGAGCAGTCGCACAATCCCTGGGTACTGGGTTTCTTCCCATGGGGCCATCCGGTGGACAAAAGGAAACTGAGCCTTCTCATCAACAGTCTGTGAAACCACCCCGTAACTGACCTACTTAGAAAAGCAGCATTAGCTCATGAGAAGTACTGTTCTGGATAGAAGAAGCATCCATCTATTCCAGCATTGTGTTCACACAGTGGACACCAGTCTCCCACATCTTTTCAGCAGCAGGGCAGGGCAGGGCAGGGCAACAGCACCCTGCTGCCCACCTTCTCTAGAAGCTGGTGTACATAAGCAGACTGCCTTCGATAGCAGAGATGTCATAGAGGTATTGGTGGCCACTGATAAGCTTCTTTTCCTGGAATGTTTTCCATCCCCTTTGAAAGCCATCCAAACTGGTGGCCATCACAACATCACCTGGGAGTGCATCATGGATTAACCTCATTCTGTGTGATGTCCTTCCTATCCCCTGTGCTGAAGCTCCCACCAATACGCTTCTAGGGTTGGATCCAGGTCTTGGCATGAGGGGTGAATGTGGCTGATCTCTCTGATAGACATTTGGACATTGCTCATTAAACATGCTGATAATCTCTTGGATTCAATGCTAGCTGTCCTAACTTCAGGCATAGCTGAAATTCTATGGTGGTGGTTTTAAATAATTACCAAGCTTTTCCAGGGATTTAACCCTCTTGACCTAACTTAGACTTGCTTTGCACCAATTCCTTTATTTGAACTAAGCATCCCCTTATGCTATCAAATGTAACTGTGTCGAATCATTCTGGCAGTGCTGAACTCAACTGTCTCTTTAATCTCATACAACAGTGGTTACTGTTTCTAATCAGTTCAGTAGTGTTTACATCCCATACACAGTCAAGGGCTGCCCCACCCAGGACGAAATCCAGCATTGCCTCCCCTTTATATTGTTCATGTCCACCTGATCTTGGACAATGAAGACTTTCATCTCTCTCTCTGAGCTAGAACACACAGGCACGAAGTACTGAAGCAGTGCTTTTTTTTTTTTCGGAGTTCTTACTGGTCTCAATTTCCATCTCAAGGATCATCCTTCTTGCTTGAGTTCAGCAGACAACAACAGGTTGACCCCCCACATTGCTTCTGTACTGGACTCTGAACCTTTTAGTTTCTCAGGTCAGGTGGATACTGCACCCTCTCTAATGCACAGAGCAATATACCCTTCCATGAGCTTCCAATAGCATTCCTATGCAGAAATGCCTAGAACCCTCTGGCTCCTACTGTTTCACCAGGTCTCCATATTACCTATTCCATCTTGTTGCTCCTTCAACCAGGCACTCCAGTCTATCTAGGTTTGCTTGGAGATTTTTAGCAATTTCATGGAAAGACCCATACCACATGTCCTCTCCAGAAATCTCTGTCACGGGAGATTACTACTTTGGCACTCAGACCACTTAGCTTACCATGTTAACCATCTTCTCATTGTCAGCCTTAGTTGCAGGCAAGAAGCTGCAGTTCCTCCTTCAGCCTCAGCCAGGCTGTCACTATGCACTCAGGAGGAAAAGCTTCCTCACTGGGAAGGGGCACTTTGAAATGGGATCCTCACCAAGCCATGGCTCAGATCCTCAGTATGTACAGTACACCAGCCTTGATCTGTCCTCCTCATTCATACCTGTGGGATCTTGTAGATGCTCGACATGGCTGAAATAAGGGTGGAGAGCTCAGATTCAACCTCTTCAAGGAGAGCCAGGGGCTCGTTCTTGCTCTCACACTTGTAATTGGGCAGGCAGCTTTCCCCACCTGCAAGCAGCTGCAGCATGGCGTAGGATGTGGTCCTTCCATAATAATGGCTCTCGTAGATGTCATAGCCCAGCGTGATGTTGGACAGGAGCTGCAGATTCTGGTTGACCTCCTGAATGGAAAACAGGAAGGACAAGCTGTGCCAGTACCGCAGAAGGACGCGACTGCAAAGCAAGAGTCAAACAATGGGTGTGTCACACTGTCCAGTTCTTTGCAAAGGAGAACCTCTACATTTCCCTTTTCATTCCAGTACCATTTTCAGGGAAATGACATTTCAGAAAAGATATTCCTGTAATAGTTCCCCTATGTCAAGAACTACACATCTGCCACTTGCAAACAAAGGCAGAAGAAGGGTGCCAGATTTGTCGAGAGTAGAAATCACAGATTTCATTTGCTTGTGTGTGACATAAATTTGAAAAAAGCCTGGAGAGGTTCCAGCATCTTGCATGGGGAAAAGATGTGGGTGGGCTGATGCTCCACTGCAGAAATGGAGCATTCTATCTTAAAGAATGAGTCAAACAGCCTCATTCTCAGTTACCCATTTTTTGTTCTATTCTGAGTGGACTAAATATGGCCTCTATGGTGATCTGCAATTAATAGGACAATTGGGATGTGGTCTGGGAATCAAGAAATCTGCATTCCTTACCAGTCACGTCTGTTTAAGGGGGATGCTGAAAAGATGTATGGGTCATGGTATTCAAACATTTGTGAAGAGATGACTCCACTAATGAAGTAGTCTCCTGGGTGGTAGTAATTTGATGCTCCCTTTTGATGCTTCATTAGATTTGGGGGGCATGTTAAATCCTTCATCTGACAGACAGCCTGAGCCAGCATCAGGAGAAGCAGAAGCACAATGATGATCATTCTGGATGTGTCCACCCAACCACATTCATCACTGCTCATCTCACCCCAAATCGGGCCAATAAGCAAAAGGGTGTCATGTCTTTCCAGAAACAGCAAGTTTTCAGCCAAGGGGAATGGTCCTGAAGTCCACTGAAAAGCCGTGTCCTCTTCACATGTTGTAAATCTCACACGAAGCTCTCCGATGCGTAACAGCTATTTTATGTGCTTCCTTTGTTTCAGTCAATGTGCAAGACGTTACCTCATCTTGCCTGTGCTTTTGATATTTAAGTAATTGGTCTCCAAGGCAATCTCCAATCCATGTCAGAAAGAAGGAAGGGAAAAGACAGAAATAAACTCTCCTGAGCCTTGGCAGGAATGCGAACAGATCACTATGTTTTAGATCATTAGGAGGAAAAGCGTTCCTAATGCAACTTCACAGCTATTCCATGTGGCTCAAGGCCCAGGCAGGTGTGAAGCTGGAGAAAACAGGACTGCAGGAAGGCACAGAAGTGGTTCCATTTTCTGTCATGAGCTGACTACAGGTGTTAAGAAAATTAATGTAGTTAATACAAATAGCACACAATGAAACCTAAGATGCAAACCATGAATCTTCTACTAGGAAATAGCAGGTAACATTGTGAGGGAGAGAGGTCCATGCCAAAGCCAGCAGGAGCCCCTCATGATACTTCTTCAGCATCGATCTGCTGTACCTCCTCATGCCTGTGTTGCCTACCACTCAAGGTTCTCATCTCACAGATCATTTCAGAATATTATCCATGCGAGGTCATGGATCCTCTGCTCTGGGAGCTGAGGTCAGGTGCCCCATGGTTCCAACAGTGAGAACCATGTTGGGTATTCCCACTTCAGGCATATCACTGGACAGCTCCAGAGCTCTGCCTTTTACATGCTTCTTGGAAGGAGTTACATTTTGGAAGGTGGATGCAGGAAAGTACCCAGGCTTCCTGTGTGTTTCTTTATGAAGAGGATTTGCTTTGCACAGTGAGGCCATTGTTGGGCTTGACAGGTCACAGGATGGGCCCCAAATCATGGGTGAAGCACATTCAGGGCATTGCTGGGACCACCCGGCCTTCTTTGGTTTTGTTCCCCTGCCTGCATCGGGGAGGGCCTGCGAGGTGGAGGAGGGAAACTCAACAAATGGACCTGGGCAAATCTTAGCAGCTGGACAGGGTTCCAGTTACCCCAGATATAACAGGAAATTGACCTGCTGGATGCGGCTTCAGTGGGAATTCCTACCCTCTCTTGGATAAAGATTAAAAGCTGTGCAGCAGAATAGCTGTTCCCTCTGCTACTTCTTCCTTTTTTTCCCTGGATTCTTTGCCAGCTTGTCCAGTCCAGTGACCCATGGATTGACTAACTCTCCTTCCAGTGACTATCTTATGGAACTTTTGGACTATCTTATGGAACCTTCTGCAAACATGGAATCTTAAATACAAGGGTCAAACCTGATGTATTAAACCCTCAGGAAAACTACTGTCATCCATTTCTTCTTCCTAAGATGCCCCTTTCATTCTCCAGATGATGTCCTTTCAAAAGTTTGGGAAGAGCAAAAGTATAGCAAAGGACAAGGAGGAAGACTCCGAAAGCTTTGCCCTCTCTGAGCCCAAGAAACCCCAGTGGGGAAGAATCGGACCCCCAGAACATCAGCCCACAAGCAGGAGAAATGGCTCAATTGAGGAAAAGACTCTCTTCTCTGATCAGAAGGCAAGTTGAGACCTCTCAGATTCCGGCCATTCCCACAACCATGCATTTTAGGGTGAAAAGCAAGGTTGGCAACCAGTGGCTGAATGCACGTGGAGGAGAAGACCTGTCAGCATCACAAAATGCCTCAGGAACCCCTGAAGAGCATCTCAGAAACTTACACAGAATCGTGTCAGGACAAAGCAAGCTGTGGAGTAGGACTTCCAAGTCATCAGGGACTATACACTGCTGACATTGCAGCCAAATTTTTAAAGCCCGAGGATGAAATCTGAGGCTTTGGAATTTGTGCCAGCAAGTCTCAGAGAAGAGACAATCATAATTACAAGACAAACTCAGCAGCATTTGGAATCTCTTCAAACCATAGCCTCTGCCCCAGCTGAGACATGAGAGGAATCAGGGAGACAATAGGAGACGAAGCAATTTCATCTGGCTGCACCCCTCCTGGATTCACTGATTACCAAATGGAAAGGGCATCTCCTCAGGTCACATTGCAATCCCTGATGCAAATACCCAGTCAGGGCAAATGCTGCATGTG